TTTTCAAAGTTTTATTGATAAACATATAGCAATGAGACAGTTTCAAATCAAATCGAAAGTACAGTTTCAAATAATACACTGCATATATTCTTCTTAGTGGTTAATTGCTGTACAAGGTGTCTGGTATTTTTTACTTGCCATTAATGATTGGAAGATTCCTCAGTGGGGTGGATAGCATGTGTAGCAGTGGTACTTCAGTCCTTTTTATTGCTGAGTAATAGTCTTTTGGGTAAATATGCCACGTTTGTATATCTGTTCTTTAGTTAATGAATTTTGGAGTTGTTTCTACCTTTTAGGCTGTGATGAGTATTGTAGCTATGAACATTCAGGTACAGATTGTATGAATACCTTTTTGATGTCTTTTGTGTATATTCTTTGTAGAAATTGCTTGATCATTCATAGATTTAACTTGTAGAGGAATCACTAAAACATTTCCATAACAGAATCATGTTATGTGTTTACCAATAGATAGCATAGTAGAGATTTCTTTTTTTTTTCTTCGTGGCCATCTCAGCCCGCTCTGGCGGCAGGGCTGGTGCCACACATGGTGTGGGGATCAACTGTGATCCCTGTGCTTGCCTAAGCAGGTGCTTTAGACCCCAGAACTATCTCACCAGCACCCAACAGAGGTGTTTTTTTACGTTTTTTTGTTTTGTTTTTTGCGGAACCAGGCATTGAACTCAGGCCCTTGCGCTTGCCAGGGAAGCGCTTATTCCACTGAGCCATCTCCCTGGCTCCTTGTTTGTTTTAAAGAACATGTCCTGGCCAATATTTGTTATTTTCTCCTTTTTTGGTTGTGTGCGTGTATTCCCCACCCCCCAGTACTTGGGGGATTGAACCCAGGATCTTATGCATTAGACATGTGCTCTACCACTGTGGAACATCCCTGGCTCTTTTGGGTTGTAGCTTTCCTCATGAATATGAAGTAGTACTTCATTGTGCTGCCAGATTTTTTATTTTATTTATTTTTAAATCTTTTCCCTGTGCAGCTTGGTCTCAACCACCCTAGCTCTAGGATTACAGACATGTGCCACCATGCCCTGTTTCACTGGCTAGGTCAACATGCCTGGGGGTTGGGACCATCATGGTATGTGTGGTACCAGGGATTGAACCTGGGTCCTTCTTGCACTTGCCATGCAGGTGCTTTGACTACCAAGCTATCTCCCCAGCCCTAATTTACTGCATATATTTTTGTAATAAGTTTATAAATTGAGCTTTGTGAAACTTCTAATTTTTAATTTGTTTCAGTGTTGTGTTGGTTATTTAGTGTCCATTACAGTTCCCTTCCTGTATTTTTTAGTATGGAAATATTAAATAGAATAGTGTATTAAGCTTCCATATACCCATGAGCCAACTTTTATAGTTATTAATGTTTTGTCCATCATATCTTCGTTTCATCTGTACCTATCCTCCCTTTATTTTATTTTATTGTATTTTATTTTGGCCTGCTCAGCCCACCCTGAGGGCAGGGCTATCTTGGCATGTGGTACTGGGGATCGAACCACCGCAGTCCCCTGTGCCTGTGTAAGCTTGCCTAAGCAAATACTACTGAGCTTTCTCACTGGGATCTCCCTTTCTGTTAGTGTTTCAAGCAACTCTGACTGTGTTACTTCACCTGCAAAGTCTGTCATACTTTCCATGAGCCTTCCCATTTTTAAACAAACTAGCAAGTTTTTCAGAGAAATGAGATCATTTGTATGATGTCCATATTTTGTATTTTTTTTTTCCAAATCAAATCATTTATTGATGGGCATATTGGCTGTTTCTAGGATTCAGCTGTTATAAACTATGCTACTAAATACATGGGTGTGTATATATCACTGTGATATGATGCTCTTTAACTCTTTCCAAAAGATACCAAGAAGAGGAAGAGCTGGGTAAAGTAGAACATAGAGTTTTACTTTACTTTTTAT